AGCCTCTTCCACCTGCGGTGATGAGGTTTCTCAGGACTTGTCCTATCGGTATCATGCTGACCTTCCTCCAGGAAGGGTTAGATCGGGGACTGTCCCCTTCGTCCCTGAAGGTCTACGTTACAGCAATCTCCTTCTTCCACCTACGCGTCGAAGGGAAATTGGTCGGCAGCCACGAACTGAGATTTCTCCAAGGGGCCAGACGGCTACATCCCTCTAGGCCCCCCTCTATACCCTCTTGGGACCTCTCCACCGTCCTACACGGACTGAGGATGCCCCCTTGCGAGCCCTTGGCCTCTACAGACCTTAAGGCTCTCTCCCTAAAGACGGCCCTTCTGTTTGCCTTGGCGTCTATTAAGAGGGTCGGAGATCTCCAGGCCTTGTCTGCCGACGAAACCTGCCCGGAATTCGGCCCTGAGGACTCCCAGGTGAGAATGTGTATTCTCCCTGTGTATTCTATACAAAGCCCCTTATCAGGTGAGTTTGTATTACCCCTTTCCGTTCCCTCCCCTACCTGGGTGGGGAACGATGACCTTCGATTCCACACCCTTTTACAGCCGGCGGAACGCTTCTCTCGTGGGTAGCCCTTATCAGGTTTCGATGCGATCTCCGCGCACCCCTGTTCCACATCAAGGGTGCACTCCTTCTGGTTGCCTTGATACATTAGCGGGAGCGTAATGCACCCCGTAATAGACTTTTTCCGGGCTAAAGGACAGAAGGAGTTCCCAGTCAGGTGCCTTGACTAACATCTAACCTTCACAGCTTAGAGTCGGCCTGACTGGATGGACTCGGTGCATGATGCTTTACATGGGGTTTCCACAGTGGACACTTTGACATATATGTCTGCGTTTCGACTGATAGGAAACGTCTAGGTTACTTTCGTAACCCCCGTTCCCTGAAGGAGGGATTGCAGACATTCCCTGGCCAGGCACCTTGAGTCAGCTGAATCTGAGGTGCCGTAGAGGTAAGTAGGTTCAGCTCCTCGGAAGAAGTGGAATGAGTGTAGAGTAGGGGTGTAACGGTTCACGGGGATGTATTGAACCATTTCGGTGTGGCCTGTTCGGTTCGGTACACTTGCGTACCGTTTCGGTATATTTTTTTAATTAAATAATATAAATTTATTATTAGCGCGATATTAAGCGCAGCGGAACATTGTTCCTAGGCGAGTTTCCGCACGGACGCTATTGAGTGACGCACAGTAGCGCTGCACGAGTAGCTGTGAGAAATCGCAACAGCGAAAGAGAAGCCAGAGCTTGAAGACCCTCCCACCTCACTATGGTCTCCTGTTTGGGAACACTTTGGCTTCTCTGTTAAAATTAGAACCCTGCCTCCACAGGGTTCACGCCATTCGAATTGCTGTTCGGCCGACAACCAAGAGGACTCCTGGATGTCGCCCGAGATGCGTGGGAGCAGCAGCCGGTAGCGCTCCGCTCTGTGGTCGAACACGTGACCCAGATGCGTCAGAACATCGAGCGGGTCATGCCATTAGTCCGGGAACACCTGGTCCAGGCGCAGCAAGCCCAACAACAGCACTTCAACCGGGCAGCCCAGCCCCGGGAGTTCCAGCCAGGAGATCGAGTGATGGTCCTGGTCCCCACCTCAGCCTGCAAGTTTCTGGCCAAGTGGCAGGGGCCATACACCATCACAGCAAAGGTCGGCGACGTCAATTACAAGGTGCGACAGCCAGGGAGAAGACAGCCCGAGAAACTGTACCATATTAATCTCCTGAAAAAGTGGGTGGGGACCAGAGAACAACTGGCCGCACTCGCCTCCTGTTCCCCGGTGGTGGTGGATTCCAGCGAAGACCTATCGGCTGCCCAGAAGAAGGAGCTGCAGCACCTGGTCAGTCAGTTCCAGGATGTGTTCTCCGATCAGCCAGGGCAGACCAACGTCGTCGAGCACCACATCAGGACCCAACCAGGAGTCATCATCCGGCAACGGCCCTACAGAGTGCCGGAAGCCCGTCGGCAGGCTATAGAGGAGGAAATACAACAGATGCTGAAGTTGGGGATAATAGAGCCATCCCGGAGCCCGTGGTCCAGCCCCATTGTGATGGTCCCTAAACCCGACGGCACCCTCCGCTTCTGCAACGATTTCCGCAGACTAAATGAAGTCTCGGAATTCGACAGCTACCCCATGCCCCGAGTGGATGAGCTCCTGGATCGTCTAGGGAGGGCCCGGTATATTTCCACCCTAGACCTCACCAAAGGCTACTGGCAGGTGCCAGTGGCCGCAGAAGACAGGCCCAAGACCGCCTTCTCGACACCAGCAGGCCACTGGCAGTACCGACGTCTCCCCTTCGGCCTGCATGGAGCCCCGCCCACATTCCAGCGGATGATGGATATTCTGCTCCGCCCACACCAGACCTACGCCGCCGCCTACCTGGATGATGTGGTCATCCACTCGGAGGCGTGGGACGACCATCTGGACCGGCTGCAAAGGGTGCTCACGGAGCTCCGGAGAGCCGGACTAACCGTCAACCCCCGCAAATGTCACCTTGCTAAAGCCGATGCGTCGTACCTGGGATTCCGTGTGGGGCGTGGCATGATCCGCCCCCAGGATAAGAAGGTCCAGGCCATCCAAGAGGCACCTCGCCCCACCACAAAGACCCAGGTGCGAGCCTTCCTGGGGTTGGCGGGGTATTATAGATGCTTCATCCCCAACTTCTCCTCTTTAGCCGCCCCCCTGACAACCCTGACCAGGAAGGGGCAGCCGGAGAAGATTGAGTGGACTCCGGAACTGGAGGGGACGTTCCGGAGAATAAAGCAGGCGCTCACGACGGAACCGGTACTCCGAGCGCCTGACTTTAACTGCCCCTTCCTGCTACAGACCGACGCCTCCGACACAGGGTTGGGAGCCGCCCTGTCCCAAGTGCAGGAAGGTGAGGAACACCCTGTGATTTACATCAGCAGGAAGCTGAACCCGGCCGAGACCCGGTACGCGGCCGTCGAAAAGGAGGCCCTGGCCGTCAAGTGGGCAGTCCTGGAGCTGAAGTATTACCTCCTGGGCCGGCGGTTCACCCTCCTAACAGACCACGCCCCACTCCAATGGATGGCCAGAGCAAAGGAGACCAACGCTCGGGTGACCCGCTGGTTCCTTGCGCTCCAGGACTTCCATTTTGAAGTCCGCCATCGGGCCGGGGCCGCCAACGCCAACGCAGACGGCCTATCCCGGATCTGGGCCGGATATGCAGGTTTGTCGGGGGTCATTCCCCACCCACCCTTAATCCCTAATCCATCTATGGTGTATTTCAGGACCCGCCAGAACAACGCTTGGGGGGGGGAGTGTGACGGAGGTCCATCTCAATCAGCGCGGTCCTGGCACAGATCCCGAACACCTGGCGCCCACCATCAAGGGCGAATCGGGAACAGCCGCGCTTCATCAGCGCGGCAGCATAAAAGAGAGAGACGGAGCTTCTACGAGGAGAAGAACCTCCGAAGAGTGCAGCAGCTAACTCCTCTCTCTCTCTCTACCTTCAGACAGCCCGTGACGACCAGACGACGGCACCGTCCCCCACAGCCCCGACTATTCTGGACACCGAGCACGTGAGCACTACTGGGATTGGGAAGAGCACCGAGACGAAAGAGGACACGAGCACCGAGCACTGGAAGACTGCACTACCCACGAGCACTACTTTCATCACATTCAAATAAATCCACCCTCCGGGGCACTTTTCTATCGAAAACCTTGTTGTGTGATTCCTCTCCTGCGACAATACATATACAGTTCCACTGCTATGCGGATGACACCCAGCTCTATCTTTCTGGCAAACCCTCTTCTTGTTTTCCACCTACATCCCTTACAGTCTGCTTAGCAGAAATCAAATCTTGGCTCTCTCTTAACTTTCTCAAATTAAACAGTTCAAAAACTGAGGTTTTGCTTGTTGGCACCAAATCAACACTCTCCAAAACTGACAGCTTTCTATTGATGGTTGTTCTATTTATCCCTCTAAACAGGTCAAGAGTCTGGGTGTCATCCTCGACAGCACCCTATCTTTCGATTCTCACATCAATAATATCACCCGGTCTGCTTACTTTCATCTACGCAACATCAACCATCTCCGCCCCTCTCTTACCCCTCACGCCACTGCTGTTCTTGTCCATAGCCTCGTCACATCTCGTTTAGATTACTGCAACTCCCTTCTCTTTGGTCTCACTAATAAATCCCTCCGTAAGCTTCAGTTGGTCCAGAACTCAGCTGCCCGTATCATCACCAGAACCCCTTCTTCTCATCACATCACCCCTGTCCTGCAACAGCTTCACTGGTTACCAGTTAATTTTCGAATTGATTTTAAAATTTTGATTTTAACTTTCAAAGCCATCCACAATCTCGCCCCTCCATATTTGTCTGCCCTCATCCACATTCCTGCTCCCTCTCGCACCCTGAGATCTTCCTCTTCCCTTCACTTGTTTGTTCCCTCTGCTCGGCTGTCGTCAATGGGCAATAGAGCATTCAGCCGCTCTGCTCCCCAGCTTTGGAACTCACTACCACCTGCCATTAGAAACATTGACTCTCTCACATTATTCAAATCGAAACTCAAAACCCACCTATTTAAGATGGCTTTTAATGTTTAATCTGTTCCTGCACTATTTTTGTGTATTTTAATATTATTTTTCTTAGTATCTTATTGTTCTTGTTTCATTGTACGGTGTCCTTGAGTTGCCAGAAAGGCGCCTTTAAATAAAATGTATT